GTTGGATAAAAACCACGGATAATGACTATATATATATATAACCATAGAGCAATTAATACGATAATGAGCATAACTTAATGAGCAGAACTTAATGCAAAACAGGAAAACGGATACGATAATGACTATTATCATGACGGAAACACATAAACGATAACGACTAAGCAACACGGAAACACATAAACGATAACGACTAAGCAACACGGAAACACATATACGATAACGACTAAGCAACACGGAAACACATAAACGATAACGACTAAGCAACACGGAAACAGATATACGATAACGACTAAGCAACACGGAAACACATATACGATAACGACTAAGTAACACGGAAACACATATACTGTAATGTCTATAACATGATGCAACTGAGCGTGGCTTCGGGCCATAATGTCCTCATACGTGTCATAGACCTTTTTTACATCTTACATTAAGACGTATCTTAACCCACTATTGCATGGACATTTGTGAAAAATGGCTAATTTCATTGATAAGTTCAAATTGCTATTTAACTATAAAAGATGCTTCAATATTTATCATACTTGGCAAAAATGTTGACTGGGCCATAGCCTTTGTAACGGCATGCTAAATTTTACATTTCCTGTTACCATGGCAACGAGGGGACATCTCAAAATTGCCAAAAATCACTATAATGCGTTGATTTTTTCTGTCAAAACTGATTTCAAGTTCTGTAAAGGCTTTTCACTGTTGGTAACACGTTACCTTCTGATCGACCTGAGGCCAATTTAGCCTCTCACAAGTCCTAATTCTTCTCGGCGATAAAGGGGCTGCTTCCCCCTTCAAACCTATTAGCAGAAGGGGCATATTTACCTTCTGGCACCCCCATGTATCTTTTTGATAGAGGATGGAGCCGATAAAGTGATCACTTTTTTAACAACATTTTTTTGAACGAAAACAAGTTTTTGGGGTCTAAATAGGGCATTTTTTACCAATCGAGGCCTCAAAGGGGAGGGGGGGGGGGGTGAAAAGACGTGAAAATATGTCTAATTATATGAAGTAATGGGTTATTAAATAACATAAATTAAATGGCTCGACTATCAGTTTCGAGGGAATGAAAATCAAATCTACGAACTTGGTATTGGAGAACATAGCATTGTGTTGTTGGTGACAGTCTGAATTTAGTTTCTGAAAATCTTCACGACAATTCCAAGTAATGTAATCGGAAAAAAAAACTGTTACCTTTTAACTTTGATTTTAACAAAGTAAAAAATTTCGTCCAAAGTAAACATTCTTATTTCAATAAATGATAAAAAAGCACATATTTTTTATAGTTTATTTTATTTGATAAAAGCGTCATCAATAACACATTGTCTAACAATTGTCAAGAATATGAATTATTTGTTCAAAGTTTCATAAAAGCTTTAAGAATTCAGAAAACAATTCTTGACCTCATATAGTAATAATTTATTATCATAACACTACAATGACAATGGTTATCTAAATGATATAAAGACAATTAAAAATATGTTACCTGTATACTTTTCATATTGTTCTATGGACAGTGTAATTATAATCATAGAGAGGGCAATCATTATCATGGCAAGTGTTATCATTATCATGGAAATTGTAATCATTATCATGAAATTGTAATCATTATAATAACAAGTGTAATTATTACTATGGAAAGTGTAATCATTATCATGGAAAGTGTAATCATTATTATGGACACGTGTAATTATTATCATGGAAAGTGTAATCATTATCATGGCCAGTGTAATTGTTATCATGGAAAGTGTTATTATTACCATGGAAAGTGGAATTGTTATCATGAAAAGTGTAATCAGAACAGAACAGAACAGAACAGAACAACAATTTTATTCATGACTTGTACAAAAAGTACATCATTACATATGCAAATATATACAATACGCATAATTGTCACAGTGAAATAACATATTTACATTACATATCAATTATCATAAGAGGATGAACTACAATTAATTGTAAGTAAATGTAGTTCTAAGAGATAATGCATTTTTAATATACAAAGCTAGATTTTTCAAAAGTAACTTGTTTGTTGAATTTAAAAAATCTAAAAACTTATGAACGCTAGGTCTAACGTAGAAATAAGGTTTAATATATGTTTTTCTTGCATATCAGACTGGCGTTTCCGTTAGTTTTACCCATGCCGGAAATTTCATCTGGCATGGGGGGTTCCAGATGAGTCGCGTGCTGTACAATGGCACGATAAAGATGACGTCATTTTACCGTTATGAATGATTTTGTAATTCATACGCTGTTGAATGAAAGTAGTTACGGTTGTAATGATATAAATTTTCATTGAAAATAAAGATAAAGAATTTAAAATATAATGGAATATGGTAGAATATGCAAGAAAAAATATCTGACATATGTTTGCGGTTCGGATCGGAATATCCGTCCCTCGGTCACCCGCCCATGGGCGGTAACTCGGCAAGCCTCGTTTCCGCCCAATGGGCGGGTCACCTCGGGACGGATATTCCGATCCGAACCGCAAAATATGACAGATATTATTATTCTAAGCTCACCTTAACATGGACAAATGATAATAAAATGATATTCATCTTCCAGATCGTGCATGTTACAATAAACGCATTAACTTTCATTCCTAGTAACCTATTATTTCCAAACCTGCCAGTATGAATAAATAAAGGATGAGAAGACATTCTGATTTTACTAATAAAAAATCTCAAATTGCTTGGCAAAATGTCTAAGTACAGTTCATATGTAAAATTGTGTTTAACATTTGTATACAAATCTAAAACGTTATTGTTTTCCTTATCAACATGTCAGATTTGGACAAAAGTGTCTATAAGCCTCTGTTTTAACATAGGTATAAATAGATTTACATAAACAGATTCTGGGTTATTCCAGATATAATTAAAACCACTTTCGTTTAACAATTTCTTAACTTTTGTTACCAAGTTTGTTTTACTATTATTACAATAATTTAGACTTATATTATAAACTTCCTTAAGAATAACTTTATCTGTTTTAATAATTCGAAACCAGAATTTCAGAATTTTAACATGTCTTAATATATATAATGGATAACGTGCTAACTCTCCATATACAGCTGCATTAGACGTTCTTATATTAACATTTATATCTTTTTACAAAATTTCAAATGAACCCTTTCTATTTCTTTAGATTTACCGTAGCCCCAAATTTCAGACGCATAGTTTAATATTGAACCTACAAATGAATCAAATAGTTGACAAAGCAAGTTGGGTTCAGTCTATATTTATTACATTTTATTAACAACACATTAAGAGCTTTCAATGCTTTGCCAACGAGTTATTCTTGATTGAGTGCAAAATTACCTGTATAATTGAAAACAGTTCCTAAATAGTTAAAATCATTTACAACATGTAACTTATGGCCTTTGTAAAAAAATTCCTCGGAAGGCAATAACCCTCCTCTTTTTCTGAAAACCATAACTTTTGTTTTATCAATGTTAACTTCAAGGCCCCATCTATCACAATATTCACATAATAAATTTAAACTTTTACATATTTCATCTGGTGAATTTCCAAGTATAGTCATATCATCTGCAAATGACATTAAAATTAGTAGAATTTCATTAATTTCTAAACCACAATTGACGTCTTGTTGTAAAAAAAAGTTCAAAATCGTCTATAAAAAGAGAAAATAAAACCGGGGAAATTACCGCCCCTTGTCTTAAAAAAAAGAAATCTGAATAGGTATTACATACCTTTACACATGATACATATCCCTAACAATAGGCAATAATTTACCCTATGCAATTTAATCCACAATGCTTTCCGATACACACAATCAAAGGTTTTTTTTTAAAATCAACAAATACACAATATAAACGTTTGTTATGGTTAACATTATTTTGAACAATAGAAGATAAAACAAATAAAGCATCAATAGTTGACACCAAACTGTGCGTCTGACAGTATGCAATTTTCCTCACAATAGTTTATAATTCTTTTATTGATAATAGACGTGAAAATTTGTAAAAAACAGCTAAGTAATAGAAAGAGCACCGAAACACGAGGCTATCTGATTTGTACGAGGGGGCGTAGCCCCCGAGTATTAATCAGATTGCCGAGTGTTTTGGTGTTCTTTCTCTTTTGTATCATAGTCAAACATAAAAACACGTTCCCTGTTGTCACAATATGAAACCCCAGAAAAAACAACCAATGAACGAGTATCTGAATATGATATTTCTGTCGCTTTACCTTTCTCTGGCGTCACAATAAGTAAACCGCAGCAAGAATGAGCCAATCAATGGGCATGCTCTAGAGTGCGGGTAACTAATACCTGCACTCCAATTAAAGCACTGTGCATGTATATGTATACGATTTAACTCTGACACATTTTTAACAGAAAGGTCCCCAAACTATGATACAACTAAAGTTATGCCTCGGTAGTTATATACATTATTTTGATCCCCCTTTTTATGAAGAGGTCCAACTATCTGGAAAATGCCCACTGCCAAGTATACAATTACAAATATCACATAAATGAGATGATAAAATATCATTTGATTCAATGAAATCAATGTAATCATTACCATGGAAAGAGTAATTTTATTGATAATAGACGTGAAAATTTGTTAAAAAAACAGCTAAGTAATAGAAAGAGCACCGAAACACGAGGCTATCTGATTTGTACGAGTAACAATTGTGTGAATGTTGACAATTTACAGTTACTTCCCCAAGAAATAACAAAAGTTAATCAGAGAAGACGTATAGAAAAATCACTCAGCATGTGCAATGTGAAAAACTTAATCCGGGTAAATCTTGAACACAATACAACAGTAAAAGGCCAAACAAACATAAAAATATGTTTAATGAACACACGCTCAGTGAAAAAACAAAACCCTATCCATATGTGACTTTATTCTCTCCAATGAGTTTGATATATGTGCCATAACTGAAACCTGGCTAGGTAGTTCCGTTGATAAGGTGTGTATCAGTGAACTTGTTTATCATATTTTGTACCTCCTTACCACAAAATGAAACATGTCCCGCGTGCTGGTAAGGCGAGGTGGTGGTGTAGCTATCATCCATAAAGCTTCTATACAAGTCACCACTGAGTCGTCAAGTCAAAGCAAGGAATTCTCACAATTTGAGTTCATGGACTGTAATGTAGTTATTGGGCGGTACTCTATGAGGCTAGCGGTAATATACAGACCACCTCCTTCTAAAACAGAACGGCTTGAATACAAACACTTTCCTTGATCATGAGTGGCCCCTTTTCTTAACTAAGTACGCTACAGTTGACAATTCTGCAATCATAGTAGGCGATCTGAACCTTCATCTAGATATACCAGACAACAACGATACGAGAAAATTTACAAGTAACCTTGATGCATGTGGTATGCATCAGCATGTACAAGAACCAACCCATGTTGCAGGTCATACATTGGACGTAGTGATATCAAGGGAAACAGACAACATTGTATCAAACATAGAGGTCGTAGATCCTGGACTCTCTGATTCTAGTGGAAATATCTTACGTGACCATTTTGCTGTTACATTTGATGTCAAAACCTCAAAACCTGCACCGGTACGGAAATTGGTTTCTTACAGAAAACTTCGCGCAATTGACATTGATTCTTTTCGAGATGACATACGGAAAATGGAATTCTTCAACAAAGAGTGTATCCCTTCTGACATAGATGGTTTTATGATGGAGTATTCAGACAGTCTAACCTCTATTTTGGATAAACATGCTCCGATGATTAACAAGACTATTTCATTGAGACCTGCTTGTCCGTGGTATACTGAGCAACTCCACGAAGTCAAACATGAAAAACGTAAACTGGAACGGAAATGGCGTGAAACTAAACTTACAATAGACCATCAGATCTACAGAACACACTGTTCTAGTGTGAACAAGATGTTAAAACAAGCTCGTGTAGAATACTATACAAGTAAAATAGAGTCTTGTGGCAATGATCATAAAAGTCTATCTAAGATTACCAAAGGTCTACTTGGAGATACAAATGAAGTGATTCTACCATTTGATTCATCTTCAGAGCGCCTTGCCCAGAAATTCAGTGACTTCTTTATTGGAAAGATTGAAACAATAAGGAATAACATACGTTCTCAAACACAATCGGTACCTGATAATGTAGATATGGAATCTGCATATACGGGTGTCAAATATACTGTGTTTGCTCCAACCACAGAGCAGGAAGTGAAAGCATTGATTACAAAATCAGCCACCAAATCCTGTGAGTTAGATCCCATTCCAACATGGCTGTTAAAAGAATGCATAGATGAACTAACACCAGTGATAACCAGTTTTATAAACGTGTCCTTGGATGCTGCTTATGTACCAAAAATGTTCAAACACTCACGAATAAGACCACTTCTAAAGAAACCAAATCTAGATCCTAACGAACTGAAAAACTATAGGCCTGTGTCTAACTTGCCATTCCTGTCTAAAATCTTGGAAAAGGTCGTTGACGTACGACTTGAGAGCCATCTGAAGACAAATAATCTACACGAGGTCAACCAATCTGCTTATCGCAAGTTCCATTCGCCCGAGACTGCATTGTTAAAAGTTCAAAATGACATTCTACGATCTTTGGATAATAACAATGTGACTATTCTTGTGATGCTTGATTTGTCTGCTGCTTTTGATACAATTGATCACGGAACGCTCCTTCGCCGCCTTGAACGACACTTTGGAATTACAGGCAAGCCACTCGCATGGATGACGTCATACCTGACCGACCGATACCAGACTGTATGCATAAACAACAAACTATCACAGCCAGTCCACATGGAGTACAGTGTACCTCAAGGGTCTGTCCTGGGACCAAAGAGCTATGTGATGTATACGAAACCTGTCGGAGAAATCTGCCGTAAACATGATCTAAACAACCATTTCTTCGCAGATGACTCACAACTCTATCTATCCTTCAAACCAGTGACTAATATTTCAATTCAAGAGAATATAAACCGTATTGAAAGATGTCTTGAAGATATTGTGAGTTGGATGAATGCCAACATGCTGAAGCTAAACGGCGATAAAACAGAGTTGATTCATCTTCTTCATCTGAAACATTAAACGCACAACCTGTTTCAGATTTACAGTAACAGTCGACGGTTTCGAATTAGCCAATCATCTAAGTGTGCGCAATCTTGGTGCATTTTCTTGGACTCGAAAAAACATTCGGAATGGGGATGGAACAACATGTAAAAAAATGTCTGTTAGGAACTGTTATGCACAATTAAACAAATCGGTCACATGCAGAACCCTGTCCTTTACTTGTTAAAGCAAGGCAAAATCTCTAGTAAATTCACTTGTTACTTCTAGGTTAGACTACTGTAATGCACTGTTATATGGAGTCTCTAAGCAGTCAATGACCAAGTTACAACATGTTCAAAATACAGCAGCTAGAATTGTGACCAAAACACTCAAATATGACCACATAACACCTATCTTACGTGAACTTCATTGGCTTCCGGTAGAGTATCGGGTCGAATATAAAATTTTGATTTATACATATAAATCCCTCATCGACCAATCACCAGCCTATATTAAAGACATGATAGACGTGTACATCCCAGTCAGAAATCTGAGGTCCCAGAATAACTCAATGACATTAGTTGTGCCTAAATCTCGGACAGTTAGATATGGTGACAGGTGCTTCCAGACAGCCGCAGCGAAATTATGGAACGCGTTACCACCTGACATAAGAGACTGTAATACCTTGCCATGTTTTAAGAGAGCTCTCAAAACACATTATTTCATAAAGTTCTATGGACGTTAGTTCATAAATCATCATACATGTACTATTTTTGCTATATTATCAGTGTTAATTTTAATTGTGCCTTGATTTTAAACTAAATGTGTCTGTATTTCTTACCATCCTTTACTGGTTTTAGATTATCATTATTGTTTAATAGGTTTACTTAATTAATGTTGTACATTATGTCTTATATATATATATGATTATGTTTTATCGGATTTATGTAAAGCACTCTTGAACATTTATTATTTATGAAAAGAGTGCTATAGAAATGTGGTATATAATAAAATAATAATAATAATAATTCTTTATCACGGAAAGTGTATTTATTACCATGGAAATTGAAATCATTATCATGACAAGTGTAATCATTACCATGGAAAGAGTAATCATTATCATGGCAATTGACCTACTGGATACTACAAGAATCTCTCACAGGAGGCACATCACATGACCTTGTGCTGATTTTAAGAGAAGCAGAATTTCATCTTTTCGACCTGAAATCTTATGACCTTTAACTCAACACAAAGGTTACAATATGTCAAAGATCTTGGCCAATATAAGAAAATGCGATAGGGAAGGAAGAAGACATCTATTTTTAGCATAGATGACCTTGGCACCAATGAAAAGTATAGGTTCAACCAAGGTGCTGATATACTTAATCTTTTAAATATTGACTGAGTAATAAATGTACTGTTTCGGAAAGTAGACGTATCTGTTGTTTGCAAACCAAAATACTCTGGGACTAGACCAGTTTTAAATGTATTATAATTTTGTTTGGATTAAAAATAAAAATGTATCAATAAATTATTGCACGAGTGTCTGTATTTGTATACATGTGCAGGGTTTTTCAAATAGAAATCTAATTGAAAGCCCTGATATGTGCTTTACATAGAAAAAAATGTTCTTGTAGTAACAGACAAACAGGGAGTAGGAATAAGAACTAATGTAATAGACAGACCCTGCTTTTTTAATTTGGAACAGTCCATTCATAGTGCAGGGGTTTTCAGTAACAAGTACAAGCAGTAGGCCTATAGCGCCAGGTCAGACTGGCGAGATTTGCGGCTGGCCTTTCTGCAAAGGCTAACCTGAACTTAGCCTTGGAATCAGGCCTATTTATTTGCTTATTCATAACATACGCGCTATTTCATACTCGTTCGTGCATTTGATAGTGTCGATTTGCCAAACAGAAGCACATAAAAAATCGACAGACCGGAACCCAGGCTAACCTGAACTAATATGTCTTGTATAATATATTTTATGTTTTTGTTTGTTCGTTTGGTTTGTTTGTTTTTGTTCTTTGTTTTTGTTGTTGTTGTAAACCTGTTTCAAATTTTACCATAGCTCTTACATATATATGAATATATTGATTACAAAGAATACATAAAAAAGGCGTACAGCTGATATTTCGATTGCGAAATTGAAATTGCGATTTATAGATATATATGAAAAAGAAAATTCAATAATTCAATCAATAAGACACACAATACATTTGCTATGCTACTTTGGTACATTGCAGCATGGGAATATCTAAATATAGATTGATTTAAAAAGTTGATTTGAAACACATAAAAGCATGATTATAATTTGCTATTAACGCAATTTGATTTTATTAAAGCTTGAAGAAGTTTTGTTTATTTATAAACATATCAAAATCAATATAAAGAGGTACTTTTGAATATCAAAAGAAGCGATAATCCTTAAACACATGGCACAAGATGAAAATGCAAATAAGAAAACAGACATACAGTAATTCCTTTTCCATTGCCATATATAAAGGGCATTACTATTTGAACACTATCGAGGTCCGAGGCGTATGTAGGATAAATACCACGAAACAACAATACGACAACTATCCATGATGCAACAGTGCGTGGCTTCGGCCACAACGTCCTCATGCGTGTCATTGGCCTTTTTACAGCAAGGCAGCGTGCTCGACTAAGCAAGCTTGATACAGTGACCTCCTGTACACAGGTTGAGATTATGATGGTGAGCAAGTGTGCAAAGTCATATGACGATGGATTATCTGAGGTGGTACGGAAAACGTAAACGTAAAGTCTAAAACAAGAAAAGCATTGATGCAAAGCATCAAAGGGCGACGCCAAAAGAATTTGATCCAGGTTTGCACCTAAATACTTAACAAAAGATGTGTACTTTATTGCAGTACCATTACATGTGACCTGGAGGCTAGGCCCAGTTTAAGTTGAAACTTAAACCAAAAAGAATAGACTCTGTCTTGCCAAGATGCAAAGACAATTTATAGTCAATTAAGCAATCTTATAAGACTCATGCTATAAGAAAGAATTTCTTCAGATTTATTTTACCAGATACAAGGATACCTGAGTCATCAGCATATAATCACAGGCACGAGTATCGGACCTGGGAAGAAAAATATGACCAGATTGATAAAAAAAACTTTGATCATAAAAACCAAAAAGAAAATGTAATTAATGACCCCCTTTAAAAATATACTATTAACTGAAAGTATATTTTTAAAGGGGGTCATTATTTACATAGTTTGTTTGTTTTTTTTGGACACTTTTTAAGATGAACACAGGTTTATTTTTCAATCTGGTCATATTTTTTCTTCCCAGGTCTGATACTCGTGCCTGTGCATATAATAAAAGCTTATTGCTTAGGTTTGCAGACATGTCATTGACATATATAAGACATAAAAGAGGACCTAAAATGAACATCAGGGGGACACCATAGGTACTCAGAGCAGTAGTAGAATGAGTACCAGCCACATCCACCAGCTGCTGTCTATCAGATATAAGACTTAAACCATGTAAGAATGTCATTACATATGGCAGATGCTTGAAGTTTCATGAAGAAGAAGAAAAAGAACTTCTTCATGTGCAGTATAGTGTGATCAACTGTATCAAATGCCCTTTGTATATCTAAAAGTATCATGCAATGTTGCCTTTGTCCATTTCAAATTTAATGCAATCTGTTAAATGAATCAAACACATGTCACTTGAAAAACCACTTCTAAACCCTGACTGGAACTGCCTGACCATGACTCGAACCCATGACTTTCAGAAGACCAACTGAGCTATCCGGCTGGCTACACATTTTCTCTTTAATAATGAAACAGTTCTAAACCACAACATATTTCCCCACTATATTGATTTGTGTCCTTGAATTTCTTATGTTTACCGAGCATAATAAATTGAACTCATGCTTATATGCAGTCACAGGATGAGAAAACCTTTCAGCTTGACCAGAACTCGAACCTGTGACCCACAGACTAATGTACCGAAGCTGTAGCGATTAAGCTATCTGGCCGCTTACACATTTTCTCCCCTAAATAGTGAACAGTTCTAAACCGTGACAGATACTTGTAGATTTTTAAATTAACAGATAATGTATTCTTAATTAATAAATAAGAAAAAAACCTTACATACTCATAGTCTTAATTAAAGTAACAATTTAAGTATTATTGTATAATTATTTTTACTAAAAGGGCTTAGACAGTTATTGGTTGTGCCATTATTTATAACAGGTCAATTTGAGAGTGAACATAACTGTGCTAATACATGTACAATATCTATATATCTATTTTTTGTACAAATAAAAAACTAACCTTTTGTCTATAATAAGAAATTTTATGCACCGGGCGAAAACATGAAAATGCAAAAAAACGAACAACTTTGTGGTAGATTGTATTTTCATGTTTTCATCTGGCGACCGGTTACTTTTTGTACTATGTTGGTTTTCATGTGGCACAAATCACCCACTATAAAATTTAGTGCACAAATTTATTCAAGGCAAGAAACAATCTACTCTATGAAAAGTCTGTTGTCGGGTTGACTCAGGAGACCTGGAGGTTGAGACCGGTGTCCCTCCATTACAAATAGATTAGACAGAAGCTGTCCTTTTCAAACTATGCACATGTTAGAAAAAAGTTGGAATAACTATTCAGAATATGATTTTTTGGTGACTTTATTAATTATATTGCTTTATCCAAGTTTAAGGACATTTTCAATCAATACATGTATTATCATTTATAACTTTAAATGAATTTTCATCCCTTTAATAATAATGACATAACTGTAACTCTTTAAATTCAGAAATGTTATAAGTCTCATCATATCAATATACTAAGATGCACATAACATTAATAATTTACAGTTCTATTAAATAAATATGAAATCCTTACATTAACATGCTTTTGATGACCTTACAACTGGTAAATTTTAGTAAGTAATACCTAAGATAGACAGAAAAAACAAATAATTTAGTAAACATGAGTTACTTCCCCTTAAAATAAAGAAAACCTGAAACACAAGAGAACACCCTAAACAGCAAAATTATGAAATGTTGCAGCCTCAGTTTTAATAAGCCATGCAAATTGATGGTAAAGTATTCATAAAAAATAGTTGGCCATGTGACAGCAGTAATTGCAGAAAATCGGATAGCTTTCAACATCCGGATACTGGTACACTTTGTAAAAACAACCATTCTGTGCAACAGATAAACGTAACATGGATAAAATCAATAGGATAATCGTTAACAACAGTTAATTACCTATCGTTATACTCATTTGCAGGTGAACTTTCCTCTTGTAGGAAAATTTTGAAAATATATAAATGAATGATGAATGGATACGGCATCAATGTAGACCACAACGATTTTCGAAATCCGGGTTTTAGTATTGTCAATAAAACTAAGGGACAAGCTGTTAAACTTAGCCTGCAATTTCCTGAAAATAATACCACAATGCACATGCTTTTTACATAAAGTTATTGAATACAAATATAACAACATATTTGTTTACTTGATTTTTACGAATCAAAATAAAACTAATTAACACAACATGACATTAACTGCTAATAATAACAGCTCCTTCCATAGGCCAAAATAAAAAGCATTCCATAAAAGACGACGCCGCTCACCGGCGTCGCCAACAAGAAATGTCGAACAACACATATGCCCCGCCCCCCTTTCTCATAAATAAGTACATGAAAGTGTTCAGTTATGGAAAGAACAAAAAAATAATGACCTACTAGTTATAACTAATCAATACGTGAAATATAAAGACCTTGACCTTTGAACTAGTCACTCCATTATGACAAATCAATATTTGAAATATTATGTGATACATAGTTTTCAAGACAATGAGCGGAAACCATTCTAACATTTAAGGCACCTGTGACCTTGACCTTTGACCTAGTGACCCCAAAATCAATAATGGTCATCTACTAAATATGACCAATCAACATGTGAAATCATGAAGACTTTGTGATAAATAGCTTTCGTGATAATGAGCGGCGGAAACCATTCTTACATTCGAGGTCCCTGTGACCTTTGACCTTGTAAACCCAAAATAAATAGGGGTATACAAAGCAGATACAGATGATAACTTTTATTTATGCAGTAAGTCATACAGTTTAGAAGAGACACTTGCCTTACATTTCGTATTATATCTTGGTAAATGTCAGTTATCCTGTCCCGGGAGGTTTATTAATTGCAAGTTATAATACTTAAGCAAAGATTTGTTTGCAGTCGTTTTTCCATTTTTTACAACACTACGAGAAAAAACTGCATTTACACACAGGCAATTTTGAACATTTCTTATTTTTAATCAGTGAGTTCCGCTGATTTTACGAAAAGCACATCTAAATCGAATGTAAGAGGATGGTGATAAATGAAACAATTCTAGCTCTTGCTGTCATTATTTACAGTTAAACTGGTCACAATAAATTACAATCTTAAACGGTACATCCATGTCAGTGGGTATACAATTGGTTTACATACTGTGGAAAAATATTGATGAGATGCACAGCGTAACATGGTATTGGTCATTCACCTAAAGTTTTGATGAAATTGCACCAGTTGTTTCTGAGTAGTAGTCCAAACAAACTTCTGTGTTGCTAGCAACACAAAAAACACCTTTTTTTATTCCAGGGCAATAACTCAGCCAAAAATCATTCAAGCGAAAAACTTATGTCTAATAAACAAATACTTGACCTACTAATCAATCCTGTAAAGTGCCATTGAAATTGCATTAATGGTATAAGAGTAATATTCGGACAAACTTTATTAACACCCTTTTCATTTAATCAAGGACCATAACTTAGCCAAAAATTATTCAATTCGTAAAGCATGTGTAATATGCACAAGTATTTGAGCTACAGCTCAATCTTGTAAAGTTTCTCTGAAATTGCATTAGTGGTATAAGAGGAGTAGTCCAGACAAAACTTTAAGAAATAAAAATTATTAAAGGGCCATTACTCTGACACCAGAAAATGCTAACGATATGCACGACTAGACTTGCTACTGATCATTCCTGTAAAGTTTGGATAAAATTGCACCAGTAGTTTCTGAGGAGAAGTCAGGACAAGTTTTGTGACGGACGGACAGAGGGACAGACAGACTGATGGACGACAGACGACGGAGAAGTGATCCCTATATATCGCCTCTTATCCGTAGTGGCGACACAAAAACTACTTTTTAATAATTCAGTCAATAAGCACCGTGTATATCCAGTAACGCAGGAATGTGCAAATAACGCAGGAATTGTGCAAAAGTAACGCAGAATTGTGTTTTCTCAGTGGCTGAAACGAGCACCGCGATAAGTAAATGGACCGATATTTTTTATTGAAAGAAATGAACTAGCACATACGGTGGCTGAGACATTATACTTTAAACATCATCAAAAATATTTCCATGAAAATGTTTATTTTTCAAGATCATTCGTGAGAATGACAACCTAACTAGCGTATTCATGGCGACTTTTTGTTTCAATGATATCTTTAACGCTTCACGCCTCCGGATGATCCAAAATATATCAAGAAATTCAAAATTGAGAAAACTGTACTTTAATTTTTAGAAAAGAAAACATTTAAGATCCAAGTTATATTTTATGTTCTGTACGATTTAAGACTGATTTTTCAGTATTTAATCAAACTATTTTTACGGCGTTACTAACGCAGTAAGGCTGTTTATGCATATGTTGACCAATCTTTTGGTAATTTTCTTGGATTGTGAGTGCGATTGCAATATGTAAATTGCTTTATTTGATCAACTCGAAATATTTTACTATT